AAAACCCTCATGAAAATTAATCAGCATTTTTCCATATTGCCCTATAAATACCCATTTTTGCAAAGCAATTTCCCCTAATGTAATGCATTTTTGCAAGAATTTTCTTGAACAGACACATTTTTTACACACATATTATATGCATTTTTATGGACGTCACTTGGCTGGAGACCTTGTGTTGCAAAATTTGGAGGGGTGCAAATTTCCAAAGATGGATGTACTTGCAGATTGGTTCCCAAAGTGCAAATTTGGTACATTCCCCTTTAAATATGATCTGCATCAGATCTCTCTGCATACTTGCTAACTTCTCCTGAGTAGACCCTCGAGACGCACACAGTGGGCAGATCCACTCCACACATTTAAAGCCCATCCAATGCACATGGCTTCCTGCAAAGAACCCTGGGAACTTTGGCTTGTTATGGGTGCTGGGAACTGGAGCTCTGTTGAGGGGGAAACTACAGTTCCCAGGATTCTTTGGGGCGGGTGGGAGTCATGAGCTTTGTCCCCCGCATATTTCCTCCCTCCCCCCACAGAACCCCACCCCCACCCCCACCCCCCAACTTCCCTCAGTTCCAGTCTTTGATTTCTCTAAAAATGCTGTTTCCTGCATGTTACACAGTTGTATAGCTCCTCAAACTATTTAGCGGATTATTATCAATAAAAAGTTTGTGAATGTTTATTCAAAGCCAGCCAAGGAGTCCAGTTCGCTTTGTTGCGTCTTCAAATACTTTGTAAAGGGTTCCCGTTCATCTTTAAAGTCACAGTTATCCTTGTCCCATAGCTTGTATGTCAGTTTTGCCAGTTCCATCAATTTTTCTTGCCATGATTCCTTAGTTGGGGTTTCTTCAGTCTTCCATCCTTGTGCTATTAAAACTCTCGTGGCCGTTGTCACATACGTGAAGATGTTTTTCAGCTTTTTTGGCAGATCTTTCCCTACAATCCCTAACAAGAATGCTTCAGGTTTTTTAGCAAATGTTAAATGGAGGAGTCATGAGCTTTGAATGCGGATTGAACGGGCTTTAAGTGTGTGGCGTGGATTTCCACTCATGGAGACCGTCACAGGCCTACCCCACCTCTCTGCTAACCCCATGTCAAGAAGAGTTGCTGAGGCCCTTTGAGTCTTTAGTCTTGCTTTCCCGACTCCTCCCCTTTCTCGAGATCCCACCAGAACTGTTCCATGCTGCAATCTCTTTTCCCAGGGGGAAGCGTGCCGATTTGCACAGAAGCTCTCTTGCGCTGGTAACGATCCAAGCTGTCTGATGAAGGGTTCTGCAATAAGAACATGGGTGGAGGAGCCAGAAGACTAAAAAAAGAAAAATGAACCCAGTTACTAAAGTTAGAACCAGACCCAAGAGATTAGAAGGTCAGATTCGGGTTGGAGGCGTAAGGGCACTCCCTGTTTTAATGTGATTCTTTCCCACTGTCTGACTTGCAAATTAATGGCCTCCAGCCTCATCTGGTCACCTGCGACTAAGGAGAAATAGCCTTTTATTGTTACTTCTATCATTGGATTAAACGTTCTATCAAATGTTTTTACTGTCTTTTTGCTTTGTTTTCTTTTTTTAAAAAAACAACTACAACATTATAATCAGTTTCGATCGATTAACTGACCCATCCTGTTTCAGAAATCAGCTTGGGGCAGTCTGTGGGCAAGCACACAAAGGTCTTGCTGTCCGAACACAATGCGTTCTCAGGAAATCGTTCATTAGGTGAGTGTTTGCATAATGAGTCAATGATTTCCGTGGATTCCTACGGGGGAATTTCTAATGCGTTCCCAACCTCGGAAGTTTTACCCCAAAATTATGAAAAACCCCAGGAAAAACGTTGCAAAAGGCAAACAAGGAAGGGAGTTAGGGTAATATAGGTACAGTGGTACCTCGGGTTAAGTACTTAATTCGTTCCGGAGGTCCATTCTTAACCTGAAACTGTTCTTAACCTGAAGCACCACTTTAGCTAATGGGGCCTCCCGCTGCTGCCACGCCGCCGGAGCACAATTTCTGTTCTCATCCTGAAGCAAAGTTCTTAACCCGAGGTACTATTTCTGGGTTCTGAAGCGTATGTAACCTGAAGCGTATGTAACCCGAGGTACAACTGTAATAACTTTCATTAAGGAATGGCAGGATGAACCTGTCTCTCCCAGAACCAGGGCCAGCTCGGCCATAGGGCAAGGTGAAGCAGTTGCCTCGGGGCGGCAGGTTCAGGACCATTGGCAGAAGCGACCGATTTGGGCCCTCAAGCAACGCACAGCTCGCCACTTGTCGGCTCCTCCTCTGCCCGCCTTGTCGCTTCCACCTCCTCCCCATCCTCCTTTTCCTCCCCTTTTTCTTGACCTAGACATTGGGAGGGGGAGCAGCGCAGGAATAATTGAGGACGAGGGATTAGTCAACTCCAGCAGAGGGATGTAGGTATCAGTGGGGAAGAGGCAGAACTTCCCATCTTGCCTCAGAAGCAAAACATACTGGGACCGCCCTGCCCAGAGTGAAGGGGAGGGCTTAATTCTCACAAAAGTAAGAGCAATCCCTGGCTTTGCACCCCGCTTGATCATAGAGCTGGTCTTGCCCTCCGTGTTATTTTCTGTCTTTTGAGTGTGGGTCTGTGGCACATTGTCTCACATTGGATAACGAAGGGCTCTCTATATTTAAGGTGTGCATGTATGCTTAATGACGGCGTTGGCTGCCTACATGTATATATATAACCTTGCTGTCCAAATCAGCATCCGGATCTCTCTTTATTTCCGTGCAATAAACCTGCTTTTCTCTGCTTCCTGGTGCGATAAGTTCTTTATTAGGCATAAGGGTTAAAGGGACAGGGTCCTTTTGAACAGGTGCACGTACTGGCTCCATGCAAAAGGCTCTGGTCCTCTCAGAGCTGTACGTCACATACGTGAGTGTGGCGGACACACGTGTTTGTTCAGACGAATCCATCAAATCCGCTCTATCAAAAAACGGTAGGCGGCTGTCCTTCAAAATTCACACAAATCCAAATTTTGCAATGCACCTCTCCAGTCAGACAGGGTTTGCAAAAATTACACGTTAGGAGGAAAGCATGCGTCAAAATGAAGATATTAGTGAAAATGACATGCAGAAATGTATTATGTTGGGGATAATTGCTTGCAAAAATGTGTACGTACAAAAATGTGTTTTATAGGAGGACTTTGCACTCAGATACCAGCGATTTCCCAGAAGATTTAAAGAAAAGTAACCACTGGAAATGTGGAGATCTGAATTCATGATAGGAAAGATAAGAAACCAATAATGAACCGAAACCTGTCTGCTTCTCATGGCATGGACACAGTTGTTGTGGCGTGGGGAACTCGAGAGACAATTCTTGCTGTGTGAGAACAGCGGTTAGTGGGGCATTTGTGCTTCTTCGTTTTCATCTGGGAAGTGATGGAGGAAGCTTTGCAAAGCAGGCCAGGCAACCGAAAGAGAGAGAGAGAGAGACAGAGAGCTTTCTTAACTTATTTCAACTTCGCTTGAGAACTTCACAGCTGGCTTCTTACACACAGACTGCTGCACCAGACTGCTTCATTTGTTGCGTATGCCCTTCCTAGGCTCACTTGTTCCAAAAATAGCATCAGGAGTGACCGTATTTCCTTATTTCACGATTCAGGGAAGTTTACGTGGAGGGAGGATGGACTCACTCACTCACATGTTGGGTGGGTTGGGTGTGTGTGTGTGTCATCTGAAGCCGACCGGACAAATTTCTCTCCTGGCAATGCTCACCAAAATTGAGGGGTTTTCCTTTTTAATTTTATTTGTTTGTAATTGCTGCCACACTCATGTATTTCCCCCTTCTCAATTTGCATCTAGATGGGTATAAAAATGCATTTTGCTTTGCAGGTTGTCTGGATTTCAGAGTTTAGTTTCAGGGTATCTGGAGATTAGAGAGAGAGAGAGAGAGAGAGAGACTCTTCGTTTGCAAAGACCTTCTCCCAAATGACTGGTTAAAACAAAAACAAACAAAAAAATCACTCAAGGTAAGACAATTCCTTTTTGCTGACAGCTCAGTGATTATTCCAACTGGGGGAAAGGAGTCTTTCATTCCAGCTTCGCCAGTAGGGAGGAATAGCTGAGTCTGCCCTCTTGCTGGATCGCTGCAGAAACTTTGCCACAGTCCGGTCTGCTGAGGATTTGGCATTAAGGCTGAGATTCAGGAAACCAAAGCTCTCTTTCTTTGGATGAGCACCGGGGAGAAAACGAGAGATGAGTGGAGCACGCTAAATCTGGCAGGGAAGATCTAGGGATTCCAGCTGCTCAAGACAGATGCCAGCCATCAGATACTGATCCACAGGTATCCTGCGGAGATTTAACATAAAGAAGTCCCAGTTCAACAAAGGTAAATGATTTTTCAGCAGGAGAGATGGAAACAAAGACCTAGCTTTATTGCTAAAATGAGAAAAGACGGGCAAAAGTGTGGCGTTTTGCTTGGGTTTTGTCCAAAGACCGCACATAGTCCTATTGGAATAAATTAATGTACAAACGGCTCCTAGATTGCAGTTATACTTAGCTTTTTTAAGTGATTTCAGTGAATAGGGATTGTTCATGGAAACTGAGGTGGGGGGTAAACATAAGCCTTTATTAGGGGGTGTGTGTGTGTGTGTGTGTGTGTATCTTTCACCTGAAGCTTGAGCAATGCTCATTCTAGTTAAACCGTAGAAATATTGTTGAAATATTGTAAAACATCATCTTATCTCTTTGGGGTTTTTAAAAGGCAGTGGTGGGCCCGATCCTGCAAAAAACAAGGCTGCCACCCTAAGCCCAGTTTCTCTTGGCAGTAAACTCCACTGGACTCAAATGAGATTGACTTCTGCGCCTGCACAGTTCGGATTCTGTCTTACGCATTTGATTCCGATGCTTCCAGGGAAATTTTACTACGCACTTTCCTGAACCGTAGCCATTCAGTGCATGGAATCTTGTAGTGTTAAGGGCACGTGTTTAGTGAATGATTGATCTGAAGAGGAGAGGAATACTTATTTTTGATGTATTTAAATTGTTTACAGAATGCCTGGGGGTGAAGTAGGCAACCCAGTCCTCTGTGCATATCTTCTTAGAAGTAATCCCTCTTCTGTGTTCAATGGGGCTCCCTTGATTTCCGCATGGGTGGGGAACCTCAGGGCTGGGCGTGGCCCTCCAGACCTTTCTATCCGGCCCTCGGAATTCACCTCCAACCCACATTCCTCACTAACCCTACTATGCACCTCTGACTTTGTGTCTTTGAGCTGTAACAATGCTTCCCACCTGCCTGGATGGAAGGCAGAGATGGGGGTGGGAGTGTGGGTCAAGACTCTTGCACAAAGGTAAAATTTGCATTTGTTGCCCTGCCCACTTTTGCCTCTGGCCCCGCCCACTTCTGGCATGCAACCCTCAGAAAGTTGCCCAGAAGTGAATTCAGCCCTCATGGTGGAGAAGGGCACCCCAACCCCTTCAGCTTAGCACTGCAACCTGATTTTCTCAGCCTGAAGGTCTGAAATAGACTCGCTTTTAGCTGTGCCATCACAGAGACAATCAGAGTTCATGGGCGTAGCCAAGATTTGTTTGGGGGGGAGAGCAGGACACCCACCTGTCACCTTCCTCCGTCTGGTTCCGTCTGTTAGATTCAGAATGAAATGTCTCAATTTGTTTCAAATTTTGATTGTTTTATATTACTTTTTGTGACCCCCAGTGCTCAGAAAAATCTGTCAAAATCTCCAGTCATTTGAAAACTAGGAAGTTAAATAAAAAACATCAGGGAGTATATTTCGCAAAATTGCAAAGAATACGCCTTTTTCTTTTCATTTTTATTTTTAAAATCTAAACTAAAACAAGTTTTCTTGGATTTGCTGAAAACCTTATCAGCACTTCTTTCTCAGATTCCTCCTTTTTCCAGTGCAGTTTTTATGTGCGCACTCAGTAAGCAGAGCCCATGGAGATGTTCCCCACAATGCAATCGTTTACCTTAGCCAGGTCTTTACTCTCTGCAAAGTACTGAATGACCGCTCTGGTGGCTGAGCAAGAGAGATGAGCAGAGCCTTTTTTTGGTGGTAGAGCATTTCAATTTCAAGTATTCAGATCATTCCTACTTTTAGTTAAGTATTTTTTATTTATTTACTTGATTTAGGGTGGCAGACGAGGAAGAGCTGTAGCTCAGTAGCAGAGCATCTGTTTGCATGTGGAAGGACCAAGGTTTAATCCTGAACAGCATCTCTAGGTTGGGCTGGGAAATATTTCCTGCCTGAGACCTTCGAAAGCTTCTGCCAGTCAGGGTAGACAAGACTGACCTAGATGGACCCATGATCTGACTGGGCAAAGGGCCGCTGGCTAGGTTTCCATGTTCTAATTTTCACTGTGTGTAAGGACGGAACACTCAAATAGGGCTATTGTCAGTCGTATTTGAGTGAGGTAAAGGGACCCCTGACCATTAGGTCCAGTTGTGGCCGGCTCTGGGGTTGCGGCACTCATCTCGCTTTATTGGCTGAGGGAGCCGGCGTACAGCTTCTGGGTCATGTGGCCAGCATGACTAAGCCACTTCTGGTGAACCAGAGCAGCGCACAGAAACGCCGTTTACCTTCCTGCCAGAGTGGTACCTATTTATCTACTTGCACTTTGACGTGCTTTCAAATTGCTAGGTTGGCAGGAGCAGGGACCGAGCAACAGGAGCTCACCCCGTGGCGGGGATTTGAACCGCCAACCTGATCAGCAAGTCCTAGGCTCTGTGGTTTAACCCACAGCACCACCTGTGTCCCATTGATTTCCTTGGGTGAGCCTAAATTATGGTGTTACATGAGAGGGAGAGGGAAAAAATACTCTTATCTCCATAACACAAACACACACACACACCTTCCCATTTTAATTAAGTTATTCAAAGTTAAAACAATTGCACTGCAAAAATAATTGCACGGCAAGCACTCTGTCTAAAGCCCTGTGTAGGGAATGAGGAACCGATGGCCTTCTAGGGGTTGGACTACAACTCCCATTATTCCCAGCAGGATCAATGGGCAGGCATGATGGGAGTTGTAGTCCAGGAACCTTGAGAGGACTACAAGTTCCCCATCCCCGCTCTAAAAACTAAGAAGGCACCAAACATTTGCTTTTATTTCTGTACCACTTAATAGATTACAATATGTCTCTACAGAAAGCTGAAGCAACAACAGACAACTTAAACAACCAATATTACAAAAAATTCAGTCATGTATGAAAATTTTACATTAACGCAAAATTACTAATAAATATGAAACAAAACCAGTTCCTTCTCCTTTAGACAAACCCTCTTCACCTCCTGGCTCTCACCCAGCATAGGAACCAACTTCTAGGGTCCGAGGGAGCTTCACCCTCCCCAATAAAATATTTGAGAGGGCCCCCCCAAAAAACGTTGATGGGCATTGCCATTCAAGCGGTGTGCGTACACTGTGCCATGTGATCGATTATGCAGGGTGGGGCTTGCCTGCCCCTCCCCAATATTTAATTCAAGTTGGCACCCCTGTCACCCAGAATCTGGACAAACTCTCAGCTCCTCCACAAAAGTCTCACCTTGGGAAGAGTTCCTGCAAATAGCTGACATCACCGCAGTCTCTCACTCTAGACGTGTGTTTTATGGCTGCCATACACTTGGGATTCGTCTGCTGAAAATGGCATCCTGGCTGAATTTTTTAAAACTGTTTAAAAAGTCTGGATTTTCACCTTGAAACATGGCGACCTTATTTTATGCACAGGCCCAAGGTTGGTGGAGCACCCACAGGCTGCCTCCAGCTGTATCCCATTCAACAGCCACTTTCCATACCCCGTTCAATTCTTCTTTAAATTTATGTCTATTCTTTGCTTTTTAAAAAGGGCTATTCATTCATCTGAACTTCCTTGTATGTGTTTCCTTTGCAGACAGGTGTCTACCTTGCATAGAGCAGAGTTTGTGAGCTGTGGAACACACACACACACCTGCTATGCAAAGGATGATGTGCCCCTTCCTTTTTAAGCCTCAAACCAGTAAGATTGAGTCCCAAGAAGGGAAGGATATCAACAACAATAACAACAACAACAGTAGCAGCAGCATGGAAAAAACAACTGGGAACTTTCACAGGTGAGAGTGCTTCCTTCTCTCCTTCAGTCATAACCGCAGCAACTTCACCTGGCGAAACTGACAGGCAGTAGATCCAGGAAAGGTGAAAAAGGAAATTCCTCTTCCTGCGATGCAAAATCGGCATAAGGATGTTACTGCTGTGTGATGGGCTACTGGCTCGGATTCTTTCAAAGGGTGTCAGATATATTCCCAAGTAGGGCCTGCGGTGCGAAATGCAATGTTTAGGGCTCCAGCCAGCCACACCCTTTTCAGAACACTCCATGCCAGCCTGCCAGCCATGACCTTTTTCAAGACACTCCATTCCATTTCCTTGTCGTGGTTTACCTTGCTTCCGCAGTCAAGTCAGCATTCCCTGGCTGTTGAGTTTGCTCACTGAGCTCTTTGGGGCTGATGGTTATTTTGTTCTCAGCTTTCCCCATTCTTTTTTTTAAAAAAATACGTCTCCAAACCTGTAGATGCCACCTTCTTGTCCCTAGATAGTACTGTCCAGATGCATAAGGCCCAGCAGTCAAGAGAACTGAATTCGCTGTTGGTCTATATCAAAGGTGGCCAAAGTGGTGATTGCAGCCAGCCAGCATAAATAAATGAATAAATGCTAATAGAACCTCCATGTTCAATGGAAGTGTGCCTCTGAAAGCCAGGAGGAGTTGCCTGCGTGTGAGTTTTCTTAAAGCATCTGACTGGCTGCCATGGGGTGGAGGAGAACAGACTCAATGGAGCCTCTTCGTCTGATCCACCAAGATGCTTGTCTATTTCCTTCCTCCTTGAAGAGTAGGAGCCGATGGTGGGGGAAAGCAAGTCCCAGGCAATGCCCAAGCAGAACTTCCCAATAAACCTTGAGAAGAGCAGCTGTTTCTTTGGATCACACTGGTGCAATGGGTACTTTTTATCTTTCTGACTCCTGCGCAGTGATGACATCAGATGAAGGTGTTGTATCTGATGCATCAGACAAAAGAGGGCTCCAAAGTGTGGCTAGCCTTTAAAGTTTATAGAATCATAGAACTGTAGAGTTGGAAGGGACCCTGAGGGTCATCTAGTCCAACCCCATGCAATGCAGGAAACTCAGCTGAAGCATCCATGACAGATGGCCATCCAGCCTCTGCTTAAAAGCTTCCAAGGAAGGAGAGCCCACCGCCTCCCAAGGGAGACCGTTCCACTGACAAACACCTCTCAGAAAGTTTTTCCTGATGTTTAGTTGGAGTCTCCTTTCTTGGAGCTTGCAGCCATGGGTTCGAGTGCTACCTTCCAGAGCAGAAGAAAACAAGTTTGTTCCCTCTTCCATGTGACAGCCCTTGAGATACCGTATTTTTTGCTCTATAAGACTCACTTTTTCCCTCCTAAAAAGTAAGGGGAAATGTGTGTGCGTCTTATGGAGCGAATGCAGGCTGCGCAGCTATCCCAGAAGCCAGAACAGCAAGAGGGATTTCACTGTGCAGCAATCCCTCTTGCTGTTCTGGCTTCTGAGATTCAGAATATATTTTTTCTTGTTTTCCTCCTCCAAAAACTAGGTGCATCTTATAGTCTGGTGCGTCTTATAGAGCGAAAAATACGGTATTTGAAGATGGCTATCGTATCTCCTCTCAGTCTCCCCTTTTTCAGGCTAAACATAACCAGCTCCTTCAACCGTTCCTCATCAGGCTTGGCTTCCAGACCCTCGATCTCTTTGTGTGTGTTTGCAGTAACAGACCAACACAACTGGCTCTCTAATTTGCCAGCAAACGCATCCACCAAGCAGATCTCTTATCATAGGAGTCACCCACCCCGACTCAAGGACAGAAGGATGCATCGATTTTGGTTCTCCCAGTTTCTCCTACATTGGGGATTGAACCTGGGTCTTTCTGCCTGCCAAGCAGCTGTCCAGCCGTTGAGCTACAGGCAGACCTTCCATAAATAGTCTCCTGATCTCCAGCCAGCATCAAAGTGAAAAGGAAGAGAGAAGAGTTCAGGAGTCATCATTATACAGGAAACCAATTCTATGCAGGAAATCCAGTTATTTTCCTAACGAGCTGTCAGTCCTCACTTGTTTTCAGAAGCTTTCCTCCAGCGAATTCCCCAAAGCAGTCAGTTCTGTCCAGCACTTTCCCTCCCTTTGTTTTGCTGCTATAACTAGCCTGCTGCAAGATTATATTTGAAGCTGGTTGACGTGGGTCCTTTGTTTTACTCCTTGGGTGGCTCCTGATCACAGCCAGCACCCCCTGGGAATCTCCTGCTTAAACTTCCCAATTTAACCCAAGCTTGGGAACCTTTCCCTGTTTACCAAAGTGGTACAGTACCAGCCTTGGCCACCCCAGAGTCCTCCCAATGCGGTGTTCTTCTAGCTTTATTCCTTTTGCACATTTGCAAGCTGCTTTACAGCCTGAGGCCACTGAAGCAAGACCCAATACAAATGTTTGGGGTAGGGCCATAGCCCAGAGACAGAGAACTTGCTCTGCAATTAGAAGGTTCGAATCCCAACGCCACCTCCAAAGAGTACTTGGGATGCCCTCTGTCTTCAACCCTTTGCTGCCAGTCAGTGTGGACAGTACTGAGCTGGATGGACTCTACGGTCTGACTTGGTAAAGGTAAAGGTAAAGGGACCCCTGACCATTAGGTCCAGTCGTGGCCGACTCTGGGGTTGTGGCGCTCATCTCGTTTTATTGGCCGAGGGAGCCGGCATACAGCTTCTGGGTCATGTGGCCAGCATGACTAAGCTGCTTCTGGCGAACCAGAGCAGCGCACAGAAACGCCGTTTACCTTCCCGCCGGAGTGGTACCTATTTATCTACTTGCACTTTGACGTGCTTTCGAACTGCTAGGGTGGCAGGAGCAGGGACCAAGCAACGGGAGCTCACCCCGTCGTGGGGATTCGAACCGCCAATCTTCTGATCAGCAAGGCCCAGGCTCTGTGGTTTGATCCACAGTGCCACCTAAATTCTAAAAACAACTAAAGCTGAATTCCGTAAAGCAACAGCTGTTCCTATACTCTCCAACATTTCCCCGATGAAAACAGGGACGTCCTAAGGAAAAGTGGGACGTTCTGGGATCAAATCAGAAACCGGGACGGCTTCTGTAAATCTGGGACTGTCCCTGGAGAACAGGGACACTGTGAGGGTCTGTGTTCCTACAGATGTACAATTAATATACCATAAATGACCTGGCCACACCTCGGGGGAAGCCTAAACAAAACGGTCTTCCATAGATGCCTAACTATCAGACACTTAGTGCCTGCTGGATTTCAGCAGGTAACTGATTCCAGAGGGTTGGAGCTGCAGTGCTAAAAGCCTAGTTTCTAGTGCATACCACTAATAATAATAATTTTATTATTTATACCCCACTCATCTGTCTGGTTGCCCCAGCCACTCTGGGTGGCTTCCAACATATATAAAAGCCTTCAGATATCTTCTTAAAAAACAGATGTTCTGGACTACAAAGCAGTCAGGACTTCTGGGCAGGACTGTTTCCCAGTATATCTGTGCCAAGATGCCAAGATACTAAAGGCTGGCTTTTAGCGACATTCCCCCCCCCCCATCCCTGACTCTTATGAAATCAATTCCTCCTTGTTCTTACAGCCTGGCAAAACGAGAAGTCGCCTCGTTAAATGGTCTAAGCAAGAAACCTGACGTGATCACTGTAACGGCAAGAGAGGTGAGTTTAAATTTGGGGTGCCCTTATTCCAAAGGGCGTAAGACGTTACAGCCTCGATGCCCTATGTATGGTGATTTGGGGGATGTGATGCATAGAGTGTCTGACTAGGATTTGAGTGGCCCAGGTTCTCATTCCTGCTGGGCAGAGAAGCCCAAGGAGTGACCCACTTACCCTTAGCCTAAACAACCTCGCAGGGCTGTTGAGAGGATAACACGGGAGGCATGAGCCAGGTACGCCAGCTTTTTGGGGAGACGGGCTGTTGTTCAGTGGGAGAGCGCATGGCTTGGGCTCAATCTCTGGCTTGGATTGGGAAATTCTTTTCCCTAAAACCCTGCAGAGCCTCTGTCAGCCAGTGTAGACACTTCTGAGCTAGATGGACCAATGATCTTGTTCAGTACAAGGCAATTTAGAAAGAATATAATTGCAGAGTCGGAAGGGACCCCGAGGGACATCTAGTCCAGCCCCCGCAATGCAGGAATCTCAATGAAAGCATCCATGTTAGCGGGCTTCTAGGATATGTTTCCTTTGGAAAGAGGTCGCTGGGAACTTAGCAGCATTTTTTGGTTGGTTTTTCCACATACAGGTTGAGCACAGGAGGAGATTCACAGCACCAGTCACCCAAAAGACACCCTAAACTCTTCCAGAGCTTGGGCTGGTCACGCACTCCTAATCTAACCTATCTCACAGGGTTGTTGTGAGGATAAAATGGGGAAAAACCATATGCTACCCTTCATCTTCGTTCAAGAGCTCCTGATAGCTCCATCAGTAGAGCACAAGACTCTTAATATCAGGGTGGTGGGTTTGAGCCCCACGTTGGGCAAAAAGATTCCTGCATTGCAGGGGGTTGGACTAGATGACCCTTGTGGTCCCTTCAAACTCTCCAATTCTCCTTCCATCTCCTTGGAGGAAAGTTGGGATGTAAATTAAATAAGTATATAAAGGTAAAGGGACCCCTGACCATTAGGTCCAGTCGTGACTGACTCAGGGGTTGCGGCGCTCAACTCGCTTTATTGGCTGAGGGAGCCGGCGTACAGCTTCCAGGTCATGTGGCCAGCATGACTAAGCCGCTTCTGGCGAACCAGAGCAGCACACTGAAATGCCGTTTACCTTCCTGCCAGAGCGGTACCTATTTATCTACTTGCACTTTGACGTGCTTTCGAACTGCTAGGTTGGCAGGAGCAGGGACCGAGCAACGGGAGCTCACCCTGTCGCGGGGATTCGAACCGCCGACCTTCTGATCGGCAAGTCCTAGGCTCTGTGGTTTAACCCACAGCGCCACCCATGTCCCTCAAATAAGTATATACATCAATACATTTAGCTCTCTCTTCCTCTCGCTCCGCTGCCTTGCCTTTCCTGACTCTCACTTCAACTCGTCAAGCTCCTTTCTTTAAAAGCATGACACCGTAATTTATTTTGTGTTTTTGCTTCCTTTCCTGAACAGAAACATTCCCCAAATGGTACCAAGCAAACGTCCCGGTGCCCGAGGCATTTAAACATCAAAAACTGGGAAACTGGGAGCAGCCTTCAAGACGCATTGCACTATCAGGCCAAAGAGGTAACACAATAGAGAGCTATATGGATTTTTTGTGGATGCTCATTCCACCTGTGGGCCAGGGAAACCAATGCAATCTAGGACCACATTGTCAGCAGTGGGCAGGGCTAAAGCCCAAAGTGGGTGGAGCCCAGAGCCCACCCCCACTTTGCCTGTCTGTCACTCCATGAGGCTGCTTTCTTGTGCTATGTGACAGGTGCAAAGCCTTGCTCCAGAGATTGGTGACATAACTGATGGGAGGGCCTTGGCTGGGTCACTTTGTGTTGGGGATGGGGAGACTCCTATCCCGTTAGGGGCAATGGGGCAGTGCCCCACCTCTCTCAGTCTGCCATCGGCTAGCCCACACTTGCCTCACTTAGAGCCAGTCCAGGGGGATCATGGCCCTGTGTGTCAGCTTCTCCGGGAGGCAGAATGGAATGGCATGGAATCGCTTTGGAGAGGGACTTGGCTGGTTTGAATTCTGAAAGGGAGCCCTTCACATGTTGTGGCAGCATGTGCCTCTTTAAGAATGGGAATTGTAATGTTGCAAATGTACTCGGGATCCCGACAGCTTCCCTCCACGCTTTATCCACCTGTTTCTCTCTCCCTCTTGCTGTTATGTTCGCTTCAGGTTCTTCACTGCAGGACCAAGGTGTGCCAGGGATCTGTCATGAACCCCAAAGGTTTGGTCAGAGGTCCCCGCAACGGGCTCACCCTGAGAGATGAATTATTACCTCAAGCAATAGAGTTCATCAACCTGTTTTACAAATCCTTTAAAGAGTGAGTGGTTGTTGTTGTTGTTGTTTTGATCCTGCCTTTCAGACATCCTTTCCATTGTTCATTCACAAGGATTTGTGCTCCTAAACGTCTCGTGGAACTTATATCAGTCCCACTTTCAAAGCTCAAACTGCATCACTACTAGTCGCTGGACACCCTGTAGCTCCCGGCTCAGATCCTTAACTTTTTATGCCACAAATGCTTTATTTTATTTTAGTCCCGCTTTTGTTGCGCCGTCACACAAGAGTGCCCCACCAGAGGGCGATAATAATTTGCTAACTTACATACCACTTCTATATAACTGCCCTGATACCATCACACAAAAAACGAAAACAAATCATCATCAAAAAAGGATGTCTGGAGTATTTGCTACGTCTTTGCTGAACCCCTGATCTATTTTGTGTTTGAGGAACGTTATTAATGACTGGTAGTTCCTCAAAGTTGGTGGGAGGAGATGAACCCAGGTTTTCTTACTGGTTCCCAAGGCTGAGCTTTCAATCATCTCTCCTGCTCCCAATTATCTCCATGAGTGATCCAGGTGGCTTTAAAAAATAATAATGAAAAACTGGAGTAATATAAATCGACCATCTTCCTTCCACCAATTAATTTTTATGAAAGCAGTTTCTAATATCCAAGATCATTCTCATGCCCTGCTGATTGCTTCTGAGTCATTCCCCCCCCCCAAATTAAAGCTAACAAGCTTCTTCTTTCATGGTGTCTTTTGCTGTAATGAATATTGGCAGCCATCAAAGAAAACCATGAAAGTTCACTTCCCAGTTTGGGATAAGGGGAGGGGGGTCCTCTCGTCTCTGGGGTCTTTCCTGGAGAATTCCTTGTGCACCCAGCTGCATATGGCTATTCTTGCCCTCTCCTCATTGGATTACATCAGCTCAAAGTGTTGCTACTCATTGTTTGCTGTTTCCTCTCCCACTCCACCTGCCAGGCCCAAAATAGAAGAGCACCTCGCGCGCCTTGAAACTGTGGCCCAAGAGATAGAAACAACAGGAACCTACCAGATGACTGAGGAAGAGCTCATCTTTGCCACCAAGCAGGCCTGGAGAAATGCTCCCAGGTGCATTGGGAGAATCCAGTGGTCCAATTTAAAGGTGATTGGTTTGTCTGCAGTCGTGGGCTGGTGCGCATTGGGACTGGCAGGGCGGAAGGCAGGCAGGACCTAATAATTCCTGCTGAGTTCTTCCAGGGCAGCAATGAGACAAGGGTGGCTGGAGGAAGCTGGAAGTCACCTGGGCTGCCCCCAGGACTGACTGTGTGTTGTCTGCCTGAGGGTAGACTGTGTTCACGCGAGGCAGCTGCCATTCCAATTTCTTCCTTTGCTTACTTGCATGCAGCTGACAGTGACAAATGCACAACCAACGAGCAGGACAATTTGCAATATAAAAGGCAAAACAGTTGCAGTTATCGCTGGCGGTGTCGATAACACATTAAAGTCTATGAGTAGGTTCTGAAGGACTGCCGTCACTCATATGGACGTGGTTTAATAATCTACCCCTTTTCCCAGGGAACTCCAGGAATTGTAACTCTGTGAGAGGGAAAAGGGGTCTCCTCACAAGTCTCAGCACCCATAGCAAACTACAGTTCCCGGGGTTCTATGTGGAAAGACATGAGTGTTAGATATTATACCGCTCAGCCATCCCAATGTAAGCAGAGCATCTTGCAATTACAGAAGTCATCCTGGCTTCAGATTTGACCCTGAAATGTCCTGTTTTTTGGTCCAGCGCTCTGGCATGAGTCAGCTGGTTCCTGTAAGAGCTCAGGATGAAAAAAAAGAGCATCTCAATTTGTATCACTCATATATTGGAGGGAATGACCTATAAGAGTGCTTTTAAATGCACAGACATGGCCTTATAGGTCATGAGAGCCAGTGTGGTGTAGTGGTTAAGAGCAGTGGACTCATAATCTGGTGAACCGGGTTCGCTTCACCGCTCCTCCACATGCAGCTGCTGGGTGACCTTGGGCCAGTCACACTTCTTTGAAGTCTCTCAGCCCCACTCACCTCACAGTGTTTATTGTGGGGGAAGAAGGGAAAGGAGAACATTAGCCGCTTTGAGACTCTTTTGGGTAGTGATAAAGCGGGATATCAAATCCAAACTCCTCCTCCTCCTCCTCCTCCTCCTCCTCCTCCTCCTCCTCCTCCTCCTCCTCTTCTTCTTCTTCTTCTTCTTCTTCTTCTTCTTCTTCGTCTCCTCTAAGGTTGCCACCATCTTCCTTTCACTGCCTTCTGAATTGTGTTGGAAAGCTAATTGACTTTGGTCATTGTTCCCAAATGTTGTTGCCTTTTAGGTCTTTGATGCCCGCAGCTGTACAACTGCCAAGGAGATGTTTCAGCACATATGCCGCCATTTGGAGTATTCCACCAATGGAGGGAATATAAGGTATGAGCTCTTTTTCCTTTCGTCCCACTTGGGTCCTTAAGAAATTAAGGAGCTGGTTGGCATTCACTCTGTCTCTTGCAACAGATCTGCCATCACTGTCTTTCCCCAGAGGACAGATGGGACACATGACTTCCGGATATGGAACAGCCAACTCATCCGATATGCTGGGTACCCAATGCCAGATGGCTCCATTGTGGGCGACCCAGCCAATGTGGAGTTTACACAGGTATGCGGGGAGAAACCAGGCACCACCAAAATATCGAAACAATAGCTGTCTATTAGCCTTTTGACAAAGCTGGCAGTGATCTTGGAAGACAGCTTGCAGCAGACAGTCACTTCCTATTAATGGCTACTTTAAAAAAAATAAAATTATTAAGCAATTTCAACATAACAAATTATCAAATCATATAATCACATACATTATTTCCCTCCTTTTTTCCCAGCTACCCTTCCATCCCCCTCCAAGGACTTCCCTCAGCTCCTCTCTCTGATTTCTCTGCACATATTATTCTCTGCATGTTATAAAATTATACATATCCTTGCGTTGTCTATCTATCATGTTATCAACCAATAAATTTGTGTATGTTTATTCAAAACCTGCCAAGGAGTCCAGTTCATTTTGTTGCCTTTTTAGATAATTTGTAAAAAGTTCCCATTCTTCCTTCAAGTCACAGTTGTCCTTGTCCCTCAGTTTGTATGTCAATTTAGCCAGTTCTGCATAGCTCATCAATTTTTCTTGCCACTGTTCTTTCATTGGGATTTCCTCATTCTTCCATCCTTGTGTTATCAAGACTCTTGCCGCTGTTGTTCTTCCTATTAATGGCTACTGATGGCTGTCTTCTGCCTCCACTGAGATCCAGTACTGAGGGCCTTCTGGCAGTTCCCTCACTGCGAAAAGTGAGGGAAAATCAGGCAGAGGGTCTTCTTGGTAGCGGCACCTGCCCTGGGGAACACCCTCCCATCAGATGTCAAACCTATAAGCAACTATCTGACATCTGAAGGCAGCCCTGTATAGGGGAGTTTTTAATGTTTGATGTTTTGTTTTGTCCCTTTATATTTTGTGGGAAGCTGCCCAGAGTGGCTGGGGTAATAAGTCATAAATTGTTATTGTTAAACTGGAGTCTGCTCTGCCAGTCATTGGCTCTGGCGCCACCTACTGTTGGCCTCCCTGCGTTCCATCCCACCACTCCCATTTTGCGTAAGGCACTGCTGGCTCTTCAGGAGCATCCAAGGAGTTAAGTCTCTCTCTTTTTGCTTTGGCCAGAAGAGGGGGAAACAAACCCAGCTCACCTCCTTTCTTTCGCTTCTCTCAGCTGTGCATCCAGCTTGGTTGGAAGCCCAAGTATGGCCGCTTTGATGTGGTTCCACTGATCCTCCAAGCCGATGGCCAAGACCCGGAACTGTTTGAGCTGCCGCCAGAACTTGTCCTTGAAGTATCTATGGAGCATCCCACGTAGGTGCCTTGGCTTCAGATGACAGCGGCCGGGACCTGCTCTTGACGGGCGGGCAGGCCGTTGCTGAAGAGAGGCTATTATTTGGGGCTTCGTGTGCTGGGGGGTTGATCTGTTGGCTTCTGCCGGAGCAAAATTACATCGAATAACGGTGCTTCCAGGCTGTTTCCATTTGGGGGGCAGAATCCTGCAATTTCAGGATGCCCCAATAGAGTTGGTTGGGAGGTCTTGTGCAAGAAACCCACTTCCCTGAAATGTCAGACTTTGGGGAATAAATAAGGTGAGGAGAAAATGCACATGAAAGTGTCAGTTGACCTTTTAACTCAGCATCATTTAACCTCCCCGCAAACAATTCAGAAGGAAAGTTTAATAAGCAATGGAAACACCCTTGGATTGGCATGTCTTCCCAAATATATTTTGTTCTGCTGCAAGTCTTGGGGTTCTCCTGAGCTTGCTGTCACCTTCCTTTTGCACATGGATGCAGAGGAATCTGCCTTATATTGAGCCAATATACATCTAGCTCATTATTGTCTACCCTGCCGGGCAGCAATTCCTCCAGGTTTTCAGGCAAGGGTTTCTCCCAGCTGTATCTGGAAATGCCAGATGTTGGATCTGGGACCTTTGTTGTACTCTACCACTGAGTTAAACCACAGAGCCTAGGACTTGCCGATCAGAAGGTCGGCGGTTCAAATCCCCGCGACGGGGTGAGCTCCCGTTGCTTGGTCCCTGCTGCTGCCAACCTAGCAGTTCAAAAGCACGTCAAAGTGCAAGTAGAGAAATAGGTACCGCTCTGGAGGGAAGGTAAATGGTGTTTCCGTGCACTGCTCTGGTTCGCCAGAAGCGGCTTAGTCATGCTGGCCACATGACCCGGAAGCTGTACACCGGCTCCCTCGGCCAATAAAGTAAGTTGAGCGCCGCAACCCCAGAGTCGGCCACGACTGGACCTAATGGTCAGGGTCCCTTTACCTTTACCTTTACCACTGAGTTACGGGCCATCCCAATGGATGGTGCTGTGTTGGCTACATAAACCACAGCACTCACTTCTGAGCAGCCATACGGAGTGGTGGAATTTCGTTCGGTTTCCCTTTCCCCTGCAGATACGAATGGTTTAAAGAACTGGACCTGAAATGGTACGCCGTTCCTGCTGTCTCAAACATGCTCCTTGAGTGTGGAGGACTGGAGTTCACAGCTTGCCCTTTCAATGGTTGGTACATGGGGACCGAGATCGGGGTACGAGACTTCTGCGATGCACAGCGCTACAATATCCTTCAGGTACTCTCTTTTTAAAATAATAACAATAAAGTGGTTTGAGTGGCAACACATTCCAAACTGATATCTGACTGACTCATATTCCTCCTTCCCTTTCCCATGCCTCTCCCCCCCACCCCGAAATGCTTGTTTTTTTGCTTTTTAAATCGGAAGTTCTTTGGATACAGGGACCTATCTGCTTCCGCTTCAGAATGAAATGCTGTTAAGCACATGCACCCTGATCAATAGAGAGTGCATTATTGTCAGGGATGGAGTCAACAAAGCAATAGTTCATCCGAGGCCAGCAAAGATACAGAGGTACCTCGGGCTAAGAACTTAATTTGTTCTGGAGGTCCATTCTTAGCCTGAAACTGTTCTTAACCTGAAGCACCACTTTAGCTAATGGGGCCTCCTGCTGCCGCTGCGCTGCCAGAGCACGATTTCTGTTCTCATCCTGAAGCAAAGTTCTTAACCCGAGGTACTATTTCTGGGTTAGCAGAGTCTGTAACCTGAAGCATCTGTAACCCAAGGTACCACTGTAATGCTTTGTTCAAGGAAACAACCACAGCTCAGGCCTAGTGGTCTCAGCAACTCTTCTCAGTATGTCTTGCCTCGATGATGCCGTTGCCAGGACTGAAGGTCTCCACCTTCCCAGGGCCCACTAGAACTCCTCCTCTCCAAGGTCTTTCCCACACAGTCTCAGGCTGCTTCTGTACATGTCCACCCTCTGTCCATTTCATTTCTCTGTGCTACCCAGGGGGCTTGGGAAGTGAGCCATGGTGGAGATGGTGGGGCTCTCAGGACTACCACCAGTGGTCTGGTGGATGTTGACTGCAGGCAGCCTGCCCAGGTGCCATTGATGAGGAACGCACCCATGTCACTCTCAACAATCCACAGGTCCGTTCCCACTTGAGGAAGTCTGTGACAAGCCTGTCCCTCTGCAGTGGCGAGTCGCGGCTGCACTCTGCGCAGAGGCTGAAAGAAACCACCTTGATGCCAAGCCAAACCACTGATTGGCTGATGGACGCATTCTTGTAAACATCGTTCGTTTGGCGAACTGCATCATAAAGTTTGGATAAGTGCAGATTCGGAAGGATAGCTGCGTTTCGGTTTGCACATTGTTTAACGTTGTTAAATGCACGTTGTGCGTTTGATCAATTTGGCTTCCAGTGAGACCTGGACCAAATTTCTCCTCCATCTCTATTGGCAGCCCTATAGAGGGCTACTGTGCGGACGTTGCTAAGGACTCCTCCTGTTCAGTTTGCACTGGAGGAAAGAGCAGCTCCTCCCCTTCAGCAGTTGGAATGTTAGTGAATATTCTGTAGCACTACAGCATTTCTGTAATTGGATGATGGTAGTTCACAGCAGCCTTCCGCAGCTTGGTGGCCTCCAGACTCCAACTCCCATCAGCCTCTGCCAGCAAAACCAATCGTTGGGAATTGTGAGAGTTGTTGTCTAAAGCATGTGGTGGGTGCCATCTTGGCGAAGGGCTGCTCTTAGATGGTTTACTGACAAGGCCATTCCTCTGGTGTGGTGATGAGGGTCCTTGAAGTCCAGAAGGTGGAATTGTTATTTTTTCATCTATTCCTTGTTCGTAGGATGTAGGGAGGCGGATGGGCCTGGAAACAAACAAGCTCTCTTCCCTGTGGAAAGACAAAGCTGTGATAGAAGTAAATGTGGCCGTGCTGCATAGCTTTCAGGTGAGTGGGAGCAGGGGGAGAGGAGGGGAACGGCTGTGACTCAGTGGGTAGAGTCCAGGCTTTGCACACAGAAGGTCCTAGGTTCAATCTCAGACAATCTCCATCTTCAAAAGAGCAGGTGATGGGGGCAGCACTATTCCTGAGACCTTGGAGAGCCCAGCCAGTCAGATCAGGTTACACCAGGCAAAATGGACAACTGGTCTGGCCAAGTCTAAGGCAGCATCCTATTTAGGGAGGGGTTGTGGCTCAGGTGCAGAACATCTGCCTTGCATGTCAGTGGTCCCAGATTCAGTCTCCAGCAACAGATATCTTTACAGGCAGTTGTGCAAGGTTAGCAGATTTGAGGAGGTGGTGTTTGTGCCTACCTGGTACCTGTGCTGAGTCGGCTCTCAGCTGCCTCACTGGTCCATAACCTCTCCCTGTAAGCAAATCCAGATGAATGTTCAACGGGCTGCCATACGTCTGGATTCATTTTGCGAAAAAAGCTCAACAACTCTTGTGTCCGGATTTTTACTTTTTGAAATACGGCAACCCTACATAAAGTCTGCAGACTGTATGGGCAAACAAATCAGGATGAATGCTCAATAAGCAGGTTGTTTGGAAGTAGGAATAAGCCCTTGTTTTCTGCTCTGCCCTGTATTAGTCTCACGCTGCACTGCTTCCGCTCTGCTGCAATTCATCTCCCTCCCCAAAAAGTTGTTCGTGATTACATAAGTTACACAATTTACATAAATTAATTGCATAAGTTGTGTCATTACATAAGCTATGTAATTTAGCCGCAGCTATGTCATTTATGAAAGGATGCAGGTGGCGCTGTGGGTTAAACCACAGAGCCTAAGGCTTGTCGATCAGAAGGTCGGTGGTTCGAATCCCTGCGACGGGGTGAGCTCCCGTTGCTCGGTCCCTGCTCCTGCCAACCTAGCAGTTCGAAAGCACGTCAAAGTGCAAGTAGATAAACAGGTACCGCTCCGGCGGGAAAGTAAACGGCGTTTCTGTGCACTGCTCTGGTTCGCCAGAAGCGGCTTAGGCACGCTGGCCACATGACCTGGAAGCTGTACGCTGGCTCCCTCGGCCAATAAAGCGAGATGAGCGCCGCAACCCCACAGTCAGCCACGACTGGACCTAATGGTCAGGGGTCCTTTTACCTATGTCATTTATGTAAACAATGATGTAATTTATGTAATTATTGACATACATTACATTGTCGTTTCATTATTCTATCCCATTTGTTTCAGTGCAATGGAAATGCAATGCAAATTGGGTGTGTGTGTGTGTAATCAGTTACATATCATTGGCAGACTGGAAGCAACAGCAGTGAATAATACTGACGGTATTTGCAAGATTGATTTCCATTCCAGAAATGGGATGAATAGGCAAACTTCAGCAATTTCCGCTCCTGTTTAATCAGTGGCGTAGTGTGGGTTGTCAGCACCCGGGGCAAGGCAAGTAATTTGCGCCCCTTAACCCGTGGATTTTAGCAGGGGGCAGAGAGCTGCGAGTGCGAGCGCGCCCCCCCCAGATGTTGCACCCGGTGCGGCCGGCCCCCCCTGCACCCCCCACGCTACGCCACTGTGTTTAATGCTTTCACGGGAATTCTCTGACGTCCCTCTCTTAGAAGTGACTAGTGAGAGCTTGTGTGTTTCTTCCAGAAACAAAATGTCACCATCATGGACCATCATTCTGCTGCCGAGTCGTTCATGAAATACATGCAGAACGAGTACCGGATTCGAGGAGGGTGCCCAGCTGACTGGGTTTGGCTGGTGCCTCCCATCTCGGCCAGCATTACACCTCTGTTCCACCAGGAGATGCTGAACTACATCCTCTCCCCTTTCTATTATTACCAGGTGAGCAAAACAATCTCAAGTCTAAGCGGCCAGGGGTGGGGCCTTACTTGGGGGTTTCCCATAGGGGCATCTGGTTGGACCCGAACCCATAGATTTAAATTACAATAAAGAAGATTATGACTAAATTTTGGGGATAGCTTTCCGGGTGTAAGAGCTGTTCGACAGCAGAATGGGCTCCTTCAGAAGGTGGTTGACGCTCCTTCACTGGAGGTTTTTGAACAGAGGTTGGACAGCCATCAGTCAGAGATTCTTTGGCTATGATTCCTTCATTGCAGGGGTCCCTTGGGGTCCCTTCCAGCTCTACAGTTCTCTGATTCTAGGGTGCTAGGATAGATCCAATCACTGACCTCTCCTGTTTCATCTGCCCCACACCTGATGTCCTATATGATAGGTAGGGCTTGGCCAAAATGGCCGGAGGTTTCCCACCAGAGTTGTTGTTGTTGGTTCATATTTTTTAAGTTTATTTGTCACCTTCTGTGGAAAGAAAGCCAGCCCAACCTCCTCTTAAAATATCCAACTTTCTCCCCACTTAAGGTAGAAGCATGGAAAACGCATATCTGGAAAGACGAAGGGCGCAAGCCACGGAAAAGAGAGATAAGATTCCGCATCTGGGCCAGGTATGTTTCCAGGAGAAAAGTTGTTGCCATGTCTGCGGTGTGTAGGTAGTTTTGGAGAGGCCCCCCCCCCGATGCAGTGAAAGAATGTGTTTTGGGAGTCACAGGAACAAGCTTCGCTGCCATCCTGCACACCCAGTTATGTCCACTGTCTGCACATTCAGAGTGGGATGGATGTGTAGCTAACTTTACACTCCCCTTTTTGAAAAGCTTTCCGCTCCAAGTCTAAGGTTTAAAACTAAGGACATGCCAGAATGGAAGGCAGGGTAGGCCTTGAAGTTGTCCCTCAAGGGTTAACAGCCGTTCCTCGTCTATTATGTTATGCCATGATAACACAGAGGCATTTTTTCCCCCAGTGGTAGCATCAGTGTTGTGGAATATCTCCCTTGCTGAAGCGCAGAAAGCCTCATCAGTATTGGCATTCCACTAGCTCTTGGAAACACACCTATTTAGACTAGTGTTTTCCTGATCACCTGACTCTCCTGCTTTGATGGTTATTTCAACTTTAACGCTTTAACAGGCTTGCATCCAACTCAGAGTAGACCCATTGAAAGTAACAGACCCAAGTTCTTCATGTTCATTATTTTCAGTGGGTCTGCTCCAAGTAATACTAGCATTGGACACCACCCTGGGTTTCTTTATAATATATCTTTTAATTACGGGTGCTTTTAATGCAGTTGTTTTGCTGTGTGTTGTAATTATGGGCAGTTGCATTTTTAGAATGGGCTTGATTCTTGCTGTGTTGTGGTTGGCTTTTACAGTCGTACCTTGGAAGTCGAACAGAACCCTTTCCAGAAGTCCTTTCGACTTCCAAAACGTTCAACTTCCAAAGCATGGCTTCTGATTGGCTGCAGGAAGCTCCTGCAGCCAATCGGAAGCTGCAGAAGCCCCGTCGGATGTTCGGCTTCCAGAAGAACGTACGGAAACTGGAACAGTCACTTCCGGGTTCCGATCGTTCGGTAGCCAAAACGTTTGAGAACTAGGCTGTTCCAAAAACAAGGTACGACTGTATTCACTCATGAAACTTCTTGAAATGAAAGATGGCACATAAATCCTGTTGACGTTATTCATCATAATATTATTTATTAATTAGAGCTATTAATTATTAATGAATTAAATCGACAAGTAATCTACCGCTCCTCATTTCCCAGGGCTGTGCTTTTTGCATCGTCGCTCATGCGGAGAGCCACAGCGGGCAGGATCAAAGCGACTGTCCTGTACGCGACGGAAACAGGAAGATCAGAAACGCTGGCGCGGAACCTTGGTGACCTCTTCAACTGTGCTTTCAACACCAGGGTAAGAGGCTTCTTGGGATAGCTCAGTCAGCAGAGCATGAGACTCTCAATCTCAAGGTTGTGGGTTTGAGCCCCACGCTGGGCAAAATATCTCTGCATTCCAGGAGGGGTTCGACTAGATGGCCCTTGAGGTCCCTTCCAACTTTACAGTTCCATGACCTTTAATATATTTTTCCTGTGAGCGGAGAGTAGCATTATAACTACATCAGAATGTAAGAAAAGGCCCTGCTGCGTTTGGCCAATGGCCCATCTCGTCCAGCATCCTGTTCTAACAGTGGCTGAACTGTGGGAAACCAGCAAACAGGATTTAACCACAAGAGCATTTTCCCCTCCTGGGGGTTCCCAGCAGGAGAAATGTGATTCAGTTTGCATTTAAAGGTGAACGTACCTCTGTCACCTGAGATTAAGCCTGTCCTGCTCTCCCAACGGAGCTCTCCCAGCTTGATATGGCTGACTATAGCTTTCCCTCGGTCCTGTATACCTGAAGGAGCATCTCCACCTCCATCGTTCTGCCCGGACACTGAGGTCCAGTGCCGAGGGCCTTCTGGCAGTTCCCTCGCTGCGGGAAGTGAGGTTACAGGGAACCAGGCAGAGGGACTTCTCGGTAGTGGTGCCTGCCCTGTGGAACGCCCTCCCAGCAGATGTCAAGGCAATAAACAACTATTTTACTTTTAAAAGACAACTGAAGGCCGCCCTGTTTAGGGAAGTTTTTAATGTCTTACACTTTATTGTTTTTAATATTTAGTTGGAAGCTGCCTAGGGTGGCTGGGGAAACTCAGCCAGATGGGTAGGGTATAAATTATTATTATTCCCTCCACAAAACCTTGTCCCTTTTCTCCAGCCTTCCCCACAGCTGCTTATAAATCCAACTTCCTTTTCTAGGTTATCTGCATGGATGACTACGATCCAAGGGATCTGGAGAAGGAAGCCCTCCTCCTGGTGGTCACCAGCACTTTTGGAAATGGAGACGCACCCAGCAACGGAAAAGTAACTTTTCATGGCCACGAGGCAAAATGAATTTCCAGTGTGAGCGAGGTCATCAGTGCAATGTAAATGGTGTCTCCTGTTTTCTTTTTGCCACAGACTCTGCAGAACACGCTGCTGTCTATGAAACAACTGAGCAACAGATTCAGGTAACTGTCTTTTGGCTGGGGGTGTGCAGCTCTCATCTTGCGCTTAACAATACTGTCAGGTTTCTGGCCTTCTGGCCTTTCTGGTCTGAGATCATGCTTTGCCGTCTGGTTCTATGAGGAGTGTAGGAAGCTGCCTTATTCTGAGTGAGACCGCTGGCCCATCTAGACTAGTATTGTCGACACTGAGTGGCAGCAGCTGTCAGAAGTTTCAGATCAGGGTCTCTGTCACTCAGCAACACCCCTTTGCTTGCTGCTCTTGTATTGTTCATTTTAAGAAAATGTTTTTAGTTATTAGGGTTGCAACTTTTATTAACCTGATAGTTGAATACATTAAAAAAAACCCTTTTGATTGACTAAAAGGGTGTCCCCAATTATATAAAAGATTGGTAAATCCTTTAAAAAATTGCTTGCATGGAACACTAAACCGTGGTTTGCACTTTGCCTGGCTTTTATGTAACACTAAACCCCCCTCCTTCTCTTCTTCTGGCATGGCTGTAATAAGGTGATCAAATGCCTCTGCTTTCATTTTAGATTAAACACAGTTTAACGTTATGCCCAAAGTCAAAACTGTGGGTTTAACTATGGTTTGCTGAAATAAGCACTCTTATGAAACAATGGTTTGAAGTTGGCATTTTCCCAACAAACCATAAGATCAGTGACACTTTGGTTTGGACGCTGCTGGGGGAGATGGAGGGAGCGCATGATTCTGTGGTTTACGGTGACTTGTCCTCTTAACACTATGCTGTGTGTTAGATCCAAGCTGCCTCAATGTCTGTACATCATCCAAAAACAAAAGTTGTTGCTTTTTGTGTGAAAGAATGTCAAACCTATGCACATTTAATTTGTTATTTGAGAAATCAACTAAAATATACAATTGATCAAGCTTTCTTTAGTTAGTTGAAAACCCTGTTAATCATACAAGAGGTGTAATACCTGGGTGTTCCTGCTGGGCTGGGTCCTTGAACTCTGAAACTCTGGATGGAGGACAGACAGAGGTGTGGATATAGAAAGCAGCTAAAATTTACATTCATGGCTCCACCCGCTTTTGCCTGTGGTCCCGCCCACCACTGACATGTGACCTCAGGAAGGTCACCCAAAATGGAATGTGACCTTTAGGCCAAAAGTGTTTTCCCACCTCTGTCTATTATACGTCTGTCTCACCCATATGCAAGTCTCCCTCACCCAGAGAGGTAATCAGGGCCCCATCTCTGCTCAGATGCTCCCAGAATCATTCTGCGCATCACCCCTCGTTTCTTTCTGATGATATCAAGAGTGACAGCTAACTTAGCTCTCCCCTTGGAACAGATACGCCGTCTTTGGCTTGGGTTCAAGTATGTATCCAGAGTTCTGTGCCTTTGCCCGCACCGTTTACCAAAAGCTCCGGCAGCTGGGGGCATCGCCTCTCACCCCGATGGGCGAAGGAGACGAACTCAACGGACAGGAAGAAGCTTTCCGGATGTGGGCACTCAATACCTTCAAGGTACCAACAGCCACCAGATTCAGGAGCGGAGAGGGGAAGGATTCGGAGAGGCATTGGGTCCAAATGTTGTAGGGAAATGGTCAATGCCATGAATGGGGGTGTTTCCTGACCCCTGTTCCGGGAATCTGGAGCTGGGGGCTGAAATTAGGAGCTTAGAGGTCTGCAATAGCAGTGAAAAATGAGGGGGACCAGCCCCTTCCCAACAGATATTGAGGGGGCCAAACAACCTCGGCCCCACAGAGTTGGCGTGCCTGGTACAGTGGTACCTCGGGTTAAGTACTTAATTCATTCCGGAGGTCTGTTCTTAACCTGAAACTGTTCTTAACCGCCGGAGCCCAATTTCTGTTCTTATCCTGAAGCAAAGTTCTTAACCTGAAGCACTATTTCTGGTTAGTGTGTAACCTGCGGCGTATGTAACCTGAAGTGTATGTAAGCCGAGATACCACTGTACATTAATTGGGTTATATCCAACTAAGTTTTCCTCAGAGCAGACCCATCGAAATTAATAGGCCCAAGTTAGGCTGGTCTATTCCTTTCAATGGGTCTACTCTGGGTAGGATGAGCATTGGATGCAAGCTGTTATCTCCCAGCCTCAGACACCGGTTTCTTCAGTAATCATCTCTGCTCTTGAATGCACCTGCAACTGACCAAACTGTGCAAATTAGTGCAGAATATCCAGGAGAGTTAACATCGCTCTTTGGCCCCCCAGATTATTGGCCTCCAGCTCCCATCAGCCCTGGCCAGAACGGCCAATGGTCAAGGATAATGGGAGGTGTAGGCCAAAATCACCCAGAAAGGCATTGTTTTCCCATCCCTGAGGTTGAGAGGAGTGGGAAGGCTGCAATGGCTCAGGGCTCGGTGTGAGCAATTTGCACATGCTCAGAGACATCCACTTACAATTGCTTGGAGTTCTGGCTGTGAATTGGCTGGCAGCTGCTGGGCTAAAAGCTGATTGCTGTGCCTCAGTATTCATCAACTGTAAAATGGGATCAACTTCCTCTTGCACATGTAGGTGTCTTATGTGTTTAGCTAGCCATGTGCAGTGTGCGGTATGCCTGCATGTTTTTTTTGTCAGCTACCTGGTTGTTTGGGTTCTGCTTTTTGCTTGTGGAATGCTTTGAGTCTGGATTATGTGGTCCACCACATGTGACACACACAAAACTCCAGCCTTAGCCTCACTCTCTTAGGCACAGGACCATCCTTGTTTATTGTGAAATGTTGGCAGCTATGTGAATACAGGAGCAACAGAGCCTATTCCAGGCAATCCTTCCCAGACAGGAAGATAATTGTGTTCCCTTTGCAGCTATCTGCAAGAACTCGCTGAGTTTTCAGTCCTTACGAAATGGTCATTGAAAATTCTTCCCCTCTTTGCTGCTCGCTGCCTGCCCCCATGTTTTGTCTCAGTTCTAGAGAAGAACGAAAATGGCACTGTTTAGCATCATCTTTACATTTAACCTGAACTGATTTAAACAAACAAACAAACAAACAAACAAACATGTTTTAACATAATCAGTTGAAGTGAATTTATTTACTTATAGTCCATGCTAACTCAAGATGATAGCCCTCCATAATTTCAGTCTAGCTTCTTCTCTTTTCTGTTTTTTAAAAGATTGCCTGCAAAATTTTTGCTATCCGTGAAAACCACAAGATCTTGGTTCCAAAAGCATATACGTGTAATTCAACCTGGGATCCAGAAAATTTTAGGACTGTGTATGACTCTCAGCTTCTGGACTTGGGGAAAGGTATACCGTAATTTCCTCCCACCTTGCGTCTCAAATACATTTGTGTGTGTCTGCAATATACTGTATTATTATTATTATTATTATTATTATTATCATCATCATCATCATCACCATCATACACACCTTCAAATATTTAATAGTACTTAAACCTCTGCTGTTGTTTAAATCCACCATTTTCCTCTCAGTTTCCTCCATTTTTGCTTCACTCAAACTTCTGCTGTTGTTTTAAGCCGGGGTCCCCAAAGTAAGGCCTGCGGGCCGGATAAGGCCCGAGGGACTCGTTTATCCAGCCCGCGGAGACCCCTGCCGCCCACTCTTACTGGCACTGCGCTGTGCAACTGCCCACTTCCGGGTTGGAGGAGCACCGGAAATAGCTTGTGTGCTTGCACAAGTGTTATTTGTGCATGCACAAGCGTTATTCCTGGTGCACATCCGAGTCGGAGGAGGCCCATGCACATGCACACAAGCTATTTCCGGTGCTCCTCTGACCCGGAAGTGCGCTGGAAATAGCATGTGCACACGCATATGGGCACATGCTTCCCCGCCCTCCGGCCCACCGCGCGATCAGCGCTGGAGACACCGGCCCGAGGTGCAGTAAGTTTGCTGCCCCTGTTTTAAACCTCCACTTTTGCCCTCTCAGTGTCTCTCCCGTCTGCTCCCATGCCATGGCTGCTGCGGTTGTGCAACCTGCCTTCTCTTTTGTTTCTCTCCCCTCCCCTGACTTTGTGGAAATCAAGGATTGCGATGCAGCCCTCCAAGGGGGGGGGGGGATCTGTGATGACAGCCTTACATTTGTATGTGTATAGGAAGATATCATTGGAGCTGTAAGCAATCTCCTAAGTAAGCGCATCATGCAGAATGTTCCATACTCCAACTTAGCAAATGTTTTCCCCTTCACAGCACTTGGTGACGTCCATGGGAAGAACATCATTCCAATGAAACTAAAGTTTCGGCAGAACCTGCAAAGTTCAAAGTCCAGGTATTCAAGTCATATTCTGAGTATCCCTCATTTAACCCATCCTAGGCATGGTTCTTTCCCCCTTTTCTTTAAAAAAACACACTAATCTGGACTTGGGGGTTATTTGGACTGGAGTCATTTGACCAACAGGTAGGAAGATACTCACATGTGCTGAAGTTTACTGTGTGTTGATCAGCACGTCTCTAAATTTCCCTTTAACTGATTGGGAAAACTCCCCCTGCAATTTGGCAGGGTTTTCCATAAATGGTCAACAGGCTTTCAGGGAATCGAAGTAAGAGACAATACTTCTCCCCATTAGACACCAGAAATGTATCCTGTCCCAAAGTGTCAACAAGGAAATCCTGTGACGGTTTGATGGGTCTGTTTTCGCTTGCCATTTCAGTCGAGCGACTATCTTAATTAAGCTTTCCTGTGAGAGAAATCAGGAAGTCGAGTATCTCCCTGGAGATCATCTCGGGATCGTCCCTGGCAACTGCAAAGTTCTCGTGGATGGCATCATCGCCCGAATCACAGATGCTCCTCCGCCGGATGAGATCATTAGGCTGGAAAGGCGCAGCGATCGTAAGTCAGGACTTGTAGAATTTGAAACCCGAAAACCTGAAACCAAAGCAAATCACAGAGTCCCTCCAGACATCTTTTGCATTGTGCTTTCATAATTATTGGCGCTCCTTATAGTACCTGGGCGGTTGTAAACAACCCACTTTTACTACCATTCATGTCTGCAAAGGTTTTGGGATGGACATCCTGCTTCGATTCGGATTGGTGCACATCCTGTAGCTTACTGCTTGAATTGTGTAACTTTTCATACCCCAAATGTTCTGTTGCTTGTATGTTTGTTGCCACACTGTTGTGGAACTGTAGCTTAAGATTGCTCTCCAGGCGACAGTAGTGTGATATCACTGGGGAAGCATCACGGCACAACTAATGAAGTGGAATTATATGTGGATGTTCTACTAAATGTCCACTGCTATTGCATCAATGACATGTCGCAGAATGTCCACCCCTGCCGCCACCATAAAAAGCAACCCGTCTGGAGAGGCCCTGCAGAGAATAAAAATATTTTTGGGGAGTGCATATGAGTATATGCACCTTGGTTCTCGAATGTAAACCATTCCAGAAGTTTGTTTGACTTCCAAAACGTTCAAAAACTAAGGCACTGCTTCTGATTGGCACAGGCACCTGGGAAACAATAGCCAACAGCCGCATCGGATGTTCGGCTTCCGAAAAACGTTCGAAAACCGGAACACCTACTTCTGGGTTTTCGGCATTCGGAAGCCAAAATGTTTGAGTACCAAGGCGTTCGAGAACCAAGGTTCCACTGTCTGCTTATCCACTTGAGTGCTTGTGTAGCTATGTCAACTCCTGTTTTTATTACTGGGTGAAATACTACAAGGCTGCCCTCTCTAAGCTCAGCAGTTCTCCATCCTTCTTCTCTTAGGGTTGAAATGGATGGGAATTAGTGGTACAGTTTGGGTAACTTTAGACTCTGAGTTTACTGGCCTTACAGGGGACTTTCTCTTCAGCTGGTAAATGCATATTAGTACTTCAAATTCTTCAGAATGCAGGAAACCAGCCCTGCTATGTTTGGCGGTGGTGACAATGGGAGGGGTTCCTAGTCCGTTCTGCCCTGGACATCTGCCCCCAAAGCCTTTCCTTAATGGTACCTCTAACTGGCACTGGTTGCTGAGTTCAACCAAAGTCTGGAAAAAACATTTTTAGGGCAGGAAAACAGCCACACCTATTTCTTGCTCTGCGTCTCCTTTGCGCAAAACCTCATCTCCAGCTGACTTCCTCTTCTGGAGATCTGAAGATTTCTCCCCCCAACTTGTTTCCTCTTCGATTCCAGGTGGCTACTGGACGGCGGACAGCAAGTTCCCAGCCTGCACCCTCTCCCAAGCCTTGATTCATTTCCTGGATATTACGACTCCGCCTTCCCAACAGTTGCTTCGGATCCTTTCTCAGCTGGCAAAAGAAGAGAGCGAGAAGGAGAGGCTGGACCTCTTATCTCATGTGAGTTTTGCCATGATAAAATTGACATTCCCTTTAAAAAATGAAGAAGAAGCCTGCTGAATCATAGAGTTTTCTGGAGTTGGCCTGTTGTTCATTTGCTAATGTTGCTACTGCATTGTTGCCCATGGGGATAAGGAGAAAATCGATTCACTTTTCAAAAAATATGTGTTTATAAATGCATGACACCGCAACATCATACAATACATAACTATATGAAATAACTTCAACGTAGCAATGGCGATACAGCACACATTATTATTGATTAAATTTGTGCCCTATATCCACAGGTCTCAGGGCAGTTCACAGGATAAAATTACAATATAAAAACACAAAATACATAAATCCAAAACCAAAACCACCCAATAACATTCCCCCAACACATTTTAAAAGGCCACATTTAGATGACAATCAACCAAAGGCCTGGTTCAAGAGGACTGTTTTTGCCTGGTGCTTAAAGGTGTATAATGAAGGCACCAGGCGAATTTCCCTGGGGAGAGCATTCCACAGACAAGGAACCACTGCAGAAAAGGCCCGTTCTCGTGTTGCCGCCCTCTGGACCTCTCAAGGAGGCACACAAAGAAGGGTTTCAGAAGATGATCTCAGGATCTGGGTTGGTTCCTATGGGGAGAGACAGTCCTTGAAGTATTGCGGTCCTGAGCTTGCTACATGTTAAAAGTTCACATTTAAATGTGAACCTGTCTGATTCGCACTTTGCGAATTGCAGCCATCCTTTGAAATCCACATTCCTCCAAATTTCATGATGCAGAGGGTTGTGGAGGAAAATGCATATACAGTCATACCTCGGGTTACAGACACTTCAGGTTGCGTTTTTTCAGGTTACAGACCGGCGAAACCCAGAAGTACTGGAACGGATTACCGGTACTTCCGGGTTTCGGCGGTCATGCTAAATCGCTCTTCGTGCATGCACAAAAGCGCCGAATCGCAACCCGCGCATGTGCAGATGCGGGTTGCGAACATGCATCCTGCATGGATCACGTTCGCAACCCGAGCGTCCACTGTAGTAGGGTTAACTCCAACTTTGATTTACAGCCGGCTGGCTCTCTGATGGGCTTTTTGCGTGTTTTGCATTTCAGAACTTGGAGGAGTACAACAAGTGGAAGTTTTACAACGGCCCCACCTTCCTGGAGGTGTTGCAGGAGTTTCCGTCGGCCGAGGTCTCAACCTCTTTCTTGCTGTCGCAGTTGCCTTTGCTGAAACCCAGGTATTACTCCATCAGTTCCTCGCAGGACCAGCAGCCTGGAGAACTCCACCTGACGGTCGCCGTGGTCACCTACAGGACCAGAGGTAATAGGGGCTTCCTGGAGTGCGATGCCACACAGTGGGAAATTCAGCAGAAGCTGGTCCATTGGGACTAGTCAGGCACTGCCCCACAGACCTCTGCTCTCAGCCCAGCCCACCGATTTGCCTTCCCACCTACAACCAGTCCAGGAAATGGTCCTAGATGTCAGCTTCCTCCTCCTCCTTAGTCCCAGTGTTGCCCCTTGTAGAACTCAGCAGGGAAGAGGATGGGGACTACAATGAGTAGCCTCTGGCTGTCCTTGGCTCTGGCGCCACCTGCTGTTGGGCTCCCTGCCTTCTGACCTGCCAGTCTCAATGGGCAGCAGGCACCACTGGGTGACTCCTTCCCACCAGCTTCAAAACAGTCTGATGGCAACATGGCAACACTGTGTTTGTCCCTCGCACTTGGCATTGGGCATAGCAATTAGGGAAGCAGGGCGGGAGAGGGAGAGGGAGAGGGAGAGGGAGAGGGAGGGAGAGAGAGAGAGAGAGAGATTCAGCTTGCATTTAAAGGTGGATCTACGGGTGGTGCTGTGGGTTAAATCACAGAGCCTGTGGGTTAAACCACAGAAGGTTGGCGGTTCTAATCCCCATGACGGGGTGAGCTCTCGTTGCTCGGTCCCTGCTCCTGCCAACCTAGCAGTTCAAAAGCACGTCAAAGTGCAAGTAGATAAATAGGTACCGCTCCGGCGGGAAGGTAAACGGCATTTCCGTGCGCTGCTCTGGTTCACCAGAAGCGGCTTAGTCATGCTGGCTACATGACTTGGAAGCTGTACGCCGGCTCCCTCGGCCAGTAAAGCGAGATGAGCGCCGCAACCCCAGAGTCGGCCATGGCTGGACCTAATGGTCAGGGGTCCCTTTACCTTTATCTTACCTGATTTTACACTTCCTGAACTAAAGTGCAGCCATCATTTGAAATTCCTGGATCTCTGAATTTTCCAATGCAGTTCTCCAACCGAGTCGCTTGCACAGAAGTGCCCGTCCTAGGATAAAGTGTGCATAAAAATACATACATTGGGGAAAATAACACATACACAAATGTGTCTATTAAGGGAAATTTGCACTAAAAAGTGGACACAGGGACTTTTCAAAAGAGCAAATAAATCACAGATGAATATGGAAATGTAGAGAATTGAAGAAATGAGATGGGCAAATTGGACACTTATTATTTCTCTATCTCTGGTTCGGAGAGGGTGGGGGAACCAGCGGAGGTTTCGAGGTGGGAGAGGAGCAGGGCCACAGGGCTCAGTGAGCTCCTTGCTAGCATGTGTGCTTTGGGAAATGCCCAACAATGCTGACCCCTGGTATTGACTTAGGCTGGATCCAGACACATCAAAGAAGTCTTTCAGTTAAATGTGTTGTAAACTTTGCATGAGAAATTGGGTTGGCAAAAACCAAACTCCACAGCACCATCTAGTGTCACAGTGTTGTAATGCATAGACAATGCATATAAAGCGCTTTTTCTTTACCCATCTAGCTGAGTTTCGAATCTCACATTAGCCTCTCATGGGGGTAATGATTTAATTGACATTTCCCCCCCCTTCCTCCACTCAGATGGAGAAGGTCCAGTGCATCACGGAGTCTGCAGCACTTGGCTGAACACTGTCGACCTAGAGGAGACCATCCCCTGTTTTGTACGCAGGTAATGACACACTCAAGAACTGGGCTGTAAGAAACTGTTGGTGAACTCACAGCCTCAAAATGACACGTGGGATGCCTGCAGTGCCACATCTTCCAGGTCAGCCCTATCCCGATTGTGCATAAAGCACATTAACTTGATTTTATGCTTTTGCTGGCCGAAACCAACCAACGCCACCCCCATACAATTTATTCATTTTAATTTATTAAATTTATATACCACCCTTCATCGAAAGATCTCAGGGTGGTTCACAAGATAAAAACACAAGATAAAGCACAAATAAATAGTTAAAACTAAGCAATAACCCCCACTGCCACAAACACATTTAAAAGGCTATGGAATGTTAATCAGCCAAAGGCCTGGTGGAAGAGGAAAAGCTTGGTTAGATGCTACAAAGTACGTGGCAATGCTATTCCACAGAACGGGGCAGCCACAATAAAGGCCCTGCTCCAAGTTAATGCAGAGTGAGCTTCTGAATGATCTGCTGGCTTCCATTTGAACCAGGGGCTTGTTTGTTAAGTATAATTGTTTCATTGACACTGAAATGCAGTGTATTACTGAAGGCTTTAAAGTGGAGAAATTGTACTGGAATATACTAAGTGGTTTCTGAGCTCCTTGATGAGTTGATAATTAACCACTGTTGCTTTCTGCTAGCTAACACCTGAGTGTTTAACCTTAGATAAGGTAGAAGAGGTATTTGGTTGCAAATCTCCATTTTGAAAGGGACTTGTGTTTAGCATTTGTTCCCAGGCTCCGTGGAAGTAGCATGTACAGTAAATGAAATTCTCCAGGAGCACACAGCCTAAGGCAAAATGGAGGCTGTAAAGAGAGAAACTTGTGGTTTTAGATCTGTTTGGAGTATTTCATATTTTATAGAAAGCAGAGCCTCTGCTGGACTGTACAAGATCTTGTATGGAATTACTTGGATGTATTATTTACCATTTTTTGTTCTGTTTTGAAGAAAGTTCTGCAAGTAAAGCTTTAATTAAACATGGGCCTTGACAATGTTTTTATTACAAAAGGAGTCGGTTGTTATGCATCCGGTTGCTTCAAGCTGCACAATATTAATATATGCGTTATCATTTGGCTATAGCATTACTCAGTTGTTGTTTTCCACCTAGTGCTGATGGCTTCCGGCTTCCAAAAGACCCACGCGAACCGTGCATCCTGATTGGGCCAGGCACAGGAATCGCCCCGTTCAGAAGCTTCTGGCAACAGTGCCTCTATGATTTGGAAAAGAAAGGTAAAAGGGGACACTTGTCACCAGCTGTTAGGCCTGCACACATACCACCCCTTTAACGGCCACATAAAGCACATGACTTCCCCCCAAAGAATTATGGGAACTGTTTAACCTCCCACAGAGCTGCAGTTCCCAGCATGCTAGCAAATGAGAAACAGGCACACTTCAAGATCCAAGTTTTAGTGTATAAATTCCTAAACAGCTTGGGACCAGGAAACCTGAAAGATCGTCTCATCCTTAATATACTCAGCCAATCACTGTGTTCTGCAGCTATGGGCCTCCTGCATATACTTTCCTATCAGGAGGCCTGTTACTCACAATGTCAGAATTTGGCTTTTCTTGTGGTGGCACCTACCCTTTGGAACTCATGGCCACTGCATATCAGACGGGCGCCATCTTTGTTGTCTTTTCAGCTAAAGGGGTTTCCCCTTTCCACATGGCTTCCAAAAATCTTTATGTCATCTGCTCTCTGGCTTGGATTTTAACTGAATTTATATATGTGCTGTTTGTTATGTTACAACAGTTTTTGTACATTATTTTATATGCATTATATTGTAAAATCACTTCAGGAGGCCTCATGAGAAGCAATTTACAAATGAAAGCAATAATATTTCCACCCTTAAAAAATAAATAAAAATATTTATTTATTAGATTTGTTTATCGCTTTATCTTTACCCAGGGAAACCCAAAGCCACGTACAACCAGACAGACAGACAAACCCTCCACATAGATACATTAAAACCAAGAGGGGGAGGAATACATTAAGACCATCCCACCTACTTCTAAAAGGCTACAGATGGGTAAATGCCAAAGGCCTGGTTATAGAGAAATATTTTTGTCTGGTGCCTAAAGATGTCTAATGAAGGTGCCAGGTGAGCCTCCCTGGGTAGAATATTCCACAGACAGGGAGCCACCACAGAAAAGGCCAATTTTCGTGTTGCCACCCTCTGGGCCTCTCTTGAAGAAGGCACACAAAGAAGTGCCTCAGATGACGGTCACTGCCTTTCTGTTTCTTTTTTCTTTCCTATCATGTTTCTCGTTTCTTTATTTCCTTCTTATAATGCTTCAGGGATGGGCACTGAATTTTCACCCTGAAACCTCAACTTCTGCTGGCCCTTCCTTGCAAAATAAATAAATGCCCGCCTGCCCCCAAACCCCAAACTTATAAAGCTAGCATTTCAGGGACTCTAGTTCCTGACACGCTAATTTTCTATGTGTGGGGGGTGCATCTATTGCACAAAGGGCCAGTCACCTCAGTGAGAACTAGGCATCCCAAATAGGCATGAATTAAATTGGGACAGAAGGAGATCTGTTTGCACTCCCCTCCCCACGCTTGAAAACTGATTTGGAGGCTTCTGGTTCTAGGGATCAAAGGGAGGAGTATGATCCTGTTATTCGGCTGCCGACATGCCAGTCTGGATCACCTCTACAAAGACGAAATGGAAGAAATGAAAAGGAAAGGGATCCTCCAGGATGTCTACACAGCTTACTCCAGAGAGCCTGGCTATCCCAAAGTAAGTCTCGTCTTATCTTGAAGGACCCACCTTTAACCAAACATGCATTTCTTAACCTTTTCCATATTTGCATGGCGGTCTTGCTCCTGTTGCGACCCACCTTGGGTCAGGCCACAAACCACTAGAGCAGGCATCCCCAAACTCGGCCCTCCAGATGTTTTGAGACTACAATTCCCATCATCCCTAGCTAACAGGACCAGTGGTCAGGGATGATGGGAATTGTAGTCCCAAAACATCTGGAGGGCTGAGTCTGAAGGGTCCTGCACCAGAGGATCCAGACCCACCAGTTGAAGACCAGCGGTCCAGGACATTTATAACAAATTGAATAACTCACCCTTTTGCACCCCAAAATGGGCCACAGGTGATGGGAAAGCCTTCCTTCTGCCTGAGACCTTGGAGAGCAGCTGCCAGTCCAAGTAGACAACACTGTGTTAAATGTTGCAGCCCTAATTTAAAACGTCTCTTGAGAGTCCCATGGACTGCAAGAAGATCAAACCTCTCCATTCTGAAGGAAATCAGCCCTGAGTGCTCACTGGAAGGACAGATCCTGAAGCTGAGGCTCCAACACTTTGGCCACCTCATGAGAAGACTCCCTGGAAAAGACCCTGATGTTGGGAAAGATGGAGGGCACAAGGAGAAGGGGACGACAGAGGACGAGATGGTTGGATAGTGTTCTCGAAGCTACCAGCATGAGTTTGACCAAACTGCGGGAGGCATTGGAAGACAGGAGTGCCTGGCATGCTCTGGTCCATGGGGTCACAAAGAGTCGGGCACGACTAAACGACTAAACAACAACAATAACGATGGAGCAGAATAATAACATACGGGTTTGTTCTTCTCGCTCCAGGTTTACGTCCAAGACCTTCTTCTGAAAAAGCTGGAGTCCGACGTGTGCAGGCTCTTGCACAGAGAGGCGGGCCACCTCTACGTCTGTGGGGACGTCCGTATGGCCAGAGACGTCGCTAAGACGTTAAGAGAGATATTTGCCAAGCATCTGGGCTTGACGCAGCAGCAGGCCGAAGATTACTGCTTTCAGCTGAAGGTACGCTGAAAACTTCTTTCTTCATCATCTTTGGCAATCACTCGTAGCCGAGCAAGATTGTCTTTCACGAACACGGTCTTAACAGAAAGTGACTGTGTGGAGGCCAATTCTGGATCCACACGTCCTTCCACAGTGGGGACATAGGTTTCCGGGCAGGAGTTGATCACGGTGAGGGTTTGCCAAGCATGCCTTCCTCTTAGCATGTTTCTCCCTTTCGTCCTGAGTTCGAGTGTCTTCAAAGCCCATGACACCTTTGGTAAAGGCTGTTCTCCACCTGCAGTGCTCACAGGCCAGTGTTTCCCAGTTGTCGGTGTTTATACTCCTTTTTTTAGATTTGCCTTGAGAGAGGCTTCAACCTCTTTGGTTGACCACCAGCATTACACTTTCCATTTTTAAGTTTGGAATAGTGTACACTGGTACCTCGGGTTACATACGCTTCAGGTTACATACACTTCAGGTTACAGACTCTGCTAACCCAGAAATAGTACCTCAGGTTAAGAACTTTGCTTCAGGATGAGAACAGAAATCGGGCTCCGGCAGCGCGGTGGTAGCAGGAGGCCCCATTAGCTAAAGTGGTGCTTCAGGTTAAGAACAGTTTGAGGTTAAGAACGGACCTCCGGAACGAATTAAGTACTTAACCCGAGGTACCACTGTAGTTGTTTTGGGAGACGATAATCAGGCATTCACACAACATGACCAGTCCAACGAAGTTGATGTTGAAGAATCATTGCTTCAGCGCTGGTGATCTTTGCTTCATCCAGTACACTCAGCTTGTGTCTCCTGCAGACTGTCAGTATTTTGTCAAAGAGGGGTTCAAGTGCTCAGGCCCTGCTTGTGGGTTTCCCATTGGAGCATCTGGTCAGCCACTGTGAGAACAGGATGCTGGGTTCATGGGCCCTTGATCTGATCCAACAGAACTCTTCTGGTGTTCTTAAGTGTATACCAAAAACATAGTTTAGTGCAATTAAAATAAATCCCTATTTTACCCTGGTGCAACAAATCCACTTTAAAAACAACAATGTTTTTTTTGTGTGTGTGATGGGGAAATTGATTGAAAAGTGTGGGACCCTCTCCAGTAAATGTTGTGGCAAATAATACTGATTGCTGGTTTATTTCATTCGTTTTTACAGAGGCAGAAGCGATACCACGAGGACATATTTGGGGCTGTGTTTCCCCACGAGAACCAAAGAGAACTGGAAGAAATGAAACTTGACAGAGACATCAGCAACTGGAGACCTCAACCTCAACTGAAATTTTAGCCATAATTTGCACACTTGTCCACATTTTCCATCGTGGTTGGGGGCAAATTTTGCTTTCTCTCCATACTCTGCCTACGTGGAGGCGATTAGCAAGATTTGTCCCATAAATCTCAGCTTTAACAACAACATCAAAAACGCGAAACACTACATATTTAATTCTATTTATTCTGTAAATTCCTTTTTTAGTTTGTGTATATTTTATCGGAAGCTTAGTCAGTCAGCTCTTTTTTTAAAAAGAGAAAAAAGAGAATATCTATTATTGGACAAAGGCTCTCAGATTTGTGATCTGATTTTACCCTGCATTACATGTTTTAGAAAAGGGAACAAAAAGTAATCTAGATTTTAAAACAAAACAAAAGAAAGCAAGCAGATTAGCAGGCAAAATCAACAGCTCCTACTTAACGAACGAAGTGCATATGGAGGCGGGGCACCAATGAGGCAAAGGACAATGTCATTGGTGCAGCTTGGAGGCAGTCTCATTGGTTGCTCGTCCAGCTGCACCGTAGCCCAGCCCCTCCCAGGAGCCAATCAGCTGGGCTGGGGGTCACAGGGGGCGGGGCTTGGAACAGGGTCTGTTACCCATAGGTGCTAGGGGTGCGGGGCACCTGGCTCTCAGGGGCGCCAGGCCGAGAGTCCGGGGCCCAAGAGTTGAATCCGGGGAAGAGCCCGCCCATTGGTTGGAGCGCTGTGGCGAGCTCGTCTGCTGTGGGTGGCTCTGCGCCGCAAATTTGGGGGCAACTGAGCCAGCGAGATGCTAAGGCGGCCACCCGGCTCTGCCCTCCAGCGCGCCTGGGACTGGGCAACTGGGGGGGGCACTGGGCGGATCTTTGCACCCCGGCGCCGCATATGCTTAAGACAGCCCTGTTCATAGAGATCAAGGCCGCTCATCACTTTGCTGTGGTATGAGGCTAGCTGCTGGTTAGACAGGGTTGGGGGGCCACCCATAGTTGGACTGACATTTGGAGATATGTGCCTTTTCCATAGCAAAGCTTTTTGGGGGTTTGCCATTGTCACAGCTTTCTGGAACCACCGGGTAGGAGCCGAACCCTACAATTGTATGAAACTGTGCAAACTGTAACCAACCCTGGTCACATCTGTACCGTGCATTTAAAGCAGTCTCATACCTCTTTTAACAGCCATGGCTCCCCCCCCAAAAAAGCATCCTGGGAATTGATTAAGGGTGCTGAGAGTTGTTAGGAGAGCTCCTATTCCCCTTCGCAGAGCTACAACCCGCAAGTTAATTTAACAGTCAATCACCCTTCCCAGAGAACTCTGGGAGTTGTAGCTCTGTGTGGGGAATAGAAGTCTCAGCGCCCTTATCAAACTACAGATCCCAGGATTCTCAGGGAGGGGAGAAATGACTGTGCTTGAACCCATTTCCTGCCTTGTGAGTGTAATCCTTGCTTCCCCACTCCCTTCTTCAGGGAGTGTTGGACTAGGATACAGGAGCTCAGCGCTTCAGATCCCCTGCACAGCCACCACACGCGGATGACCTTGGCCCAGTCATATTCTCTCAGCCTAGTCTACCTCATAGGGTTGTTCTGAGGATGAAGTGCACCTCTGTAGGAGCAGGATTCTGTCAGAACAAATGGCAAAAGTGCTAAATAAAATCCAAGCACATGGGGGGGGGGAGCTTCCTGGATCAGCGGCCCACCTCACCCACAGTGGCCAACCAGATGCCATGGGGAAGCCCTGCCCGGGGATAACTGGTGTGAAGAAACTGGTCCCTATCTGCATAGGGGACAGGAACACCCCCCAAAAAAAATAAAATTCCCTGCAGCAAGAAAAAGAATCCGGCGCTATGAACTGTTGATGCAACCTTTAATTGACAGCAACAGAATGCAGGTTACGTGTGTGTGCTTGCTAGTTAATTAGTGGTGCTGTTTTAATTTATAAGGGAAATAAACCATTGATCCTGTTCAGCCGACTCTTGTGTACTTGCTAAGCTGGCTCTCCTGAGATATTTGATGCAATGAACCAGCAGGACTGAGTAGCCCAAGGTCACATCAACTCCAAGGAAGGTTAAAGGAGGCATCCAGTATATCTGAAGGAGCATCTCCACCCCCATCGTTCTACCCGGACACTGAGGTCCGGCGCCGAGGACCTTCTGGCGGTTCCCTCACTGCGAGACGTCAAGTTACAGGGAACCAGGCAGAGGGCCTTCTCGGTAGTGGCACCCACCCTGTGGAACGCCCTCTCACCAGATGTCAAAGAGAAAAACAACTACCAGACTTTTAGAAGACATCTGAAGGCAGCCCTGTTTAGGGAAGCTTTTAATGTTTGATGTATTATGGTATTTTAATATTTTTTTGGAAGCTGCCTAGAGTGGCTGGGAAAGCCCAGCCAGATGGGCGGGGTATAAATAAATTATTATTATTATTATTATTATTATTATTATTATTATTATTATTATATCTTCACCAGTTCCTTAGCTACAGCAGAGTAAAACTGGTAAAGCTGATCAGTGATGCTGTTTAGGACTGTGTACACACACTATACATTTAAAGAGGTAACTACGAACCCCAGTTTGATGCATCCATTACTCAGTTGGAAGGGCAGTGTAAAATACCTGACATATAGATGTGTATTTTAATTTGCTGTGAAGTGTGAGGCATGCCTTTGGCATCAGCCTGCACTTTTTGCATGCTCCGGAGTCAAGAGGACATTGGCCCTACCAGGTCATGCCACTGGGCATGCTCCACATGCAAGACTCCACCCACAATATTCACAGCCCCTCCCACTCACAGAGAGGGATCCCCTCCCTTAAAGGTAAAGGTAAAGGTACCCCTGCCCGTACGGACCAGTCTTGCCAGACTCTAGGGTTGTGCGCTCATCTCACTCTAGAGGCCGGGAGCCAGCGCTGTCCGCAGACACTTCCAAGTCACGTGGCCAGCGAGACAAGCTGCATCTGGCGAGCCAGCGCAGCACACGGAACGCCGTTTACCTTCCCGCTGGTAAGCGGTACCTATTTATCTACCTGCACCCGGAGGTGCTTTCGAACTGCTAGGTTGGCAGGTGCTGGGACCGGACGACGGGAGCGCACCCCGCCGCGGGGATTCGAACCGCCGACCATGCGATCGGCAAGTCCTAGGCGCTGAGGTTTTACCCACAGCGCCACCCGCGTCCCTATATCCCCTCCCTTATAAAGGGTCAATGGTAAAAGACAACTGATAATACAATACTATTAACGATACATCACAAATATGTCACAAAGTAGGGACGCTTGGCATGTAGAAACATGAGCCTATCACCCACAGCTGTCAATAACCCCAATAACACCTTTTAACTACACTCTTCCCCAAATAACAATAAAGGTATTTACACATTCCCTAGCTGCAAGGCTTTTCTGCGCTTCTCCTTTGAAAGTATCAGGATTCAATCCACCATCCGGGTGGATTTCTGCCTGGAGTATGTGCTGCCCTTGATCGCCTCCTGCCTCCTATTGTGAGGCTGAGTTCACACCTTACGGAGGGGCAAGAAGTACTGACCTTATGCTTAAGGGATTATGGAGGCAGGGGGAGCCCTGGATGTATCTCTTCCAGAGAAGTCATTAGCCGTTGGAGCCAAGGAAATTGGCCAAACCGTTGAATTTCGGTCATTATGTGTGAAGTTTCTACAGTTTTCTATATCGCATAGTCCAGTGGTGTCCAAACTTTTTTCAAAGAGGGCCAGATTTGATGAAATGAAGGGCCATGAGGGCCGACCAAAGGGCCAACCAAAGTTGTTATTCTTTTTTTAGGACTGAAGTTTTGAGCTTTTTTCAGGGTTGAAGTTGTTGAGCCTTTTTTAAGATTGAAGTTGTTCAGGTTTTTTTTGGATTTTACCCCAGGAAATAAACTGCCACAGGGGCCGGATTAAACCGACCAGCAGGCCGGATTAAGCCCCTGAAATGGACTTTGGACATGCCTGGCATAGTCAGAGGAAACTGTATGATACAGTGGTACCTTGGGTTAAGTACTTAATTCATTCCGGAGGTCCGTACTTAACCTGAAACTGTTCTTAACCTGAAGCACCACTTTAGCTAATGAGGCCTCCTGCTGCCGCCGTGCAGCCGGAGCACGATTTCTGTTCTCATCCTGAAGCAAAGTTCTTAACCTGAAGCACTATTTCTGGGTTAGCGGAGTCTGTAACCTGAAGCTTCTGTAACCTGAAGCATATGTAACCCGAGGTACCACTGTACATGGTATCTGCTTTTTGCTGCAGTTTTATAGACTGCTTTTCTCAGCTTCTTTGCTGTTATGCATGTATGGTGCTTATGTAAACGGTTGTTGTCCTGGCCTTAGTTTGAGGCTGTGGTGGGGACTTGGGATTTTTGGGGACTCGTTTAACTGCCCCATCCTCCATCCCTGGTTTTAACACTTCCAAGGGCAGGGGATATTTGATAGCAGAGCACATTCTGTCATGCCCTTCTCCCCACCTGAAATGCTGCACAATCCCCGAAGGACAGCCCACGTGCCTTTTTCTGAAAGCGTATGTTGGCTCCAATTTGAGGCCTTGGGTTGTGCAGCTTTAACCTGTGCTTTTGGGGGTTGGTGGTGGATGTGATCTGGCACGCTGGTGTATTATTTGTCTAGCTGGCTTCTTACAATAAACACCACATACTTTTTGGAGGAAAAGGTGGGATATAAATGAAAAAAAATGAGCTCTTCTGCTGACCTGCTTAAGAAAGCTGGAGGTGCCAGCCAGATGGAGATGTCAGCCGTCAGCCTGGCACCCAGAGATCTCCTCGTGGTTGCAGCTGGCGAATGCGCCTGGCAAATTTCTAACATTGCCCAGGACTCTACCACCTCCACCTGCTGCATGTCTAAACCAGGCCTGTACATGTTGGGAGTGAAACCCAGGCGAACACTTGTCCAGGATGATTTCGCTAATAGCTTCACTGCGCTCAGGGAAAGATATTGACAGGCAAAAATGGACTAGGTGTGCCACTGAGGAGTAGCCACCAGATGGCACCAGCAGCTCACAAAAAGCACAAGAAGTTGGCACTTTTTAAACCCTGG